GGGCTGGGGGACAAGGTGGGGATGGGGCACAGGGTGGATCCATGGGCTGGGAGGGCTTTTCCAACCTCAGGGATCCTGAGATTGAAAAAAAAATCAACTGAATCATGGTCAGGAGAAGGGGGACTTTGTCTCCCGTGACAGACTTCCAAGCTTCACATCCTGGTCAGCTGGGAGGGATCAGACTGAGTGGGAAATGTCCCACGGGAGCAGCTGATGGTCCATTAGCCCAGTTCCCCCTCTGTGACAGTGGCATTACAAGATTAATTGTAATTAATCAAGGAGATTACTTAAGGAGATCCCATTTCCTGGTGGTCCATTGCCCTTGTCCCTTCCAGATTCCAATGTCATGGCACTGGCCACATCAGCAGGTTGATATTTCCAGCCTGTCTCCATAGGGAAGTTGCTCCATCCCCTTGACCATTTTAATTGCCCTTTTCTGGTCCTGCTCCACTCCCACCTCTTCCTCCTGGAGATGCTGAACCAGAGCAGCTCCCAGCACGTGCAGAGCCCCCAGTGACACGTCCCACCTCCCTTTCCACCTCTTCCCTGGTAGCTTTTGTTGCCTTTTCTGGCTGCTCCTGTGCACCAAACCCACGATTTCGAGAGCTCAGTATCAACTCCAGGACCTGCCTGGAGCTGGACCCACCAGGTCCACATCCAGCATCGTGCTGGTGGCTCCTCCCTGTGCCTGTATGTGCCTCCCTTTCCTCTCAGTTTGGGATCCTCCTGGATCTCCTCAGGGTCGATGCCTCGTCTGGCTGCTCAGTTTTTAATGCCCGGGTTGTGACACATTTCTCTCTGTAATGTTTTGAAGAGCCTTTCTGCACGATTTGACTCGTGATTTATTGTCTCCTTCCAAGCCTAAAGCAAGAGCTGGGCATCCTCATCAGGCCCTGTGTCCAAAAATCTGGAATTTTTCCTTATTTCTGTGCATTACCGGAGTCCTCCTGCCCGGCTCTGCTCAGGGAGCTGGATTTGATTGTTTTGTTCATTTTCTGCCTCCTCTTTCGTGTCAAAGTGCTTTTCTTCCTCCTGTGGGAGATGGAGTTGTGCTCCCAGAGCTGACATTCCGTACTGGAGGAGGGGGTGGCTGATCTTGGATCACCTGCACTCAGCAGCTGCTCTTCCCTCTCCATCTCAACACACCGGGTCTCCTGTGGCTTCTCCAGGCTGGGATTGAGGCTCCTTCCCACTGGGAAGTGCCCAAGGAGGGTTTGGTGGGAGCTGCCCTCCCTGGGGGTGCAGATCCAGCCCCGGTTCTGGGTGATCTCAGCGCCGGTTTCTCATCCCAGCCTGACTCAGCTCTGAGGCAGAGACGGAGCAGGGAATGTTCACACCATCTTCTGAGAGCTCAGCTTGCCTCCCCGCACACCATTCCCTCCATTTGGCTCTGGAATTTTTCCAAAAACTTTGCTCCGAGGAGTTGTTTGTGGCTCTGAGGTTCACCCAGGGCACCCCCAAGGACTGGGGCTGGATCAGGGTTTGTGTTTGTCAGAAACTGGGGGGGGTTTTCCCAGGCTGGGGAGCCCCCCCTGGAATCCCGGGGGCAGTTCTGGGCCCTCAGACAGGAGAGCCCTGGAGGGGCTG